TGTGGTAAAGGAGAGATAAGATCCAGAGGTTACTGGTTATAATAAAACTCTTTGATATTAGCTCTGACAGTTGAAAGTATTGAGAATCATAACAAAATCAAGGAAATGTGCATTTCTTTCATAACTGTGCTTCTGCTTGCTTCTCATTAGCGTCATCACAGATTCAGTAGATACTGAAGGGTAGCGTGCAGCTTCCTCTGTCTTATGTCTTCTCTCTATTATCCAAATAACTCTTCTTTGTAACAGACCTAATCTGCCCACATATCATCTTGTGCACTTTTAGGAAACCTGAATGTGACCTGAGACATTATCACAGGTTTCATTCACGTTCTAGCATCAATCATGTGTGCCGGCTGTGTTTAGCTCTTGTTACCTTTGCAGCTATAGAGGAGCTGGGCTTCTCCAGCAGATCCCACAGCTTCTGCCTCTTGTCAGGACAGCAGCCCTGCTCCTCCTCCTCTCCCTCCTTGTCCCTCAGTGTCTCTGCCTCCCTCCTCAGTTCCTCGTTCATCTGCTCCTTCTTCTGATGGTAGCGTGCCTGGCAGCAGGACTCCAAGTAGATCTCATCAATGCCCCAATAGTCCAGCTCCTGTCCAAAAGACAGAGCGCACATCTCCTCCATCATGTGAAGCTTTCCTGTTCTGTAGAAGTTGAGGATGGAGGAGAAGGCCACCGGGTGCCGGTCGAAGAAGTATTCGTTCTCAGTGAGGGTGTAGTCATCACAGATCTCCAGCAGTGACTCGTGGGTGTTGCAGTCCCTTAGCCGTCCCAGACGAGTTCGGGGCAACCGGTCAAGTGTTCTCCATAACACTTCATGTGTAAGCCCACCGACGTTGAGTCTGACCCGCCGTGAGCGGGCCTTAGTGCGGATGATGTCCACTGGCTCAGGGGGGAGCAAAGGAGCTGCAGCGGGTCGGGGGTTGACTTTGGGCGTGCTAAAACTCACCTTGTCTGTCATGTTTGCTTTGACTGCTGTCTTACTGTGGGGGTGGGTCACCTCAAACACAGGCTTTTGCAGTGTGTGCGTATGTGCGTATGGAGCTCGATAAGATGATGGCGGTGGCTGGTCAGGGGAAGATTGCCCAGGCCCACCAGGCCCACCTCTCTGTGTTCAGGCCAGCAGAAGTCCTGGTAAGATCCATGGCTGGAAAAAGAGACATGAGCCATTACACCAGTACGACCAGGTTATTCTATAGAAGATCTCCTACCGAGGAGAATAGATTAAATAAATTAATAAATACAGAATTATTCTGAAGTGGCACAGTATAAATAAAACTGAATACACGCTTTTTATGTGCATATACATTCAGGAACTCAACGATTGGAGCAGCAAGTTTGAAGGTGTTTCTCGGACACTTTGCCGAGCTGTCACTTCCCTGTGCTCCCCGTGCTGTTGTTTTTATCTCATGTCTGGTCAGCTGGAATCTAAAATTGCTAAAAACACACGTATGTTACATATGTAATGTGGGATTGTAGAATTTACTGCAGCTTATGTGCTCCCAGTAAATGATTTTGCTTTGTTTTAAAGCAGATAGATCGCAGAGTTTTACAGCAAATTAAAGTCATATCAGAATAGTTATTTTGAAAAGCACATCACATAATCTAATATTTGCTAGTCCAGGAAGTTTTACTATTTTAATTACAAAGAGTTCTCTGATGAAATCACTAAACAGGGAAGAGCAATTTGAATCCACCTCCAGGGAATATCTGGAATCTAAACAGTGCTTTTTAGAAAAGGGAGCCATTATGCAGTTAGTCTTAGAGCTTATGCTGCCATTAGAAGTCCTTTGACTCTTATCTGATTGTGTAATGGAGTTCCACAAATCCCAGTAGCGGCATAAGGCCTCGTCTCCCCTGGCTCAAGTCTACCTTAGTTAATTATAGACCGTCTATCTTCTCCTGGGACACTCATAGGACACAGAGCTGCTACGTCACGACTAGAAGAGCATCTTTCGCGTTTTTCCCCCAGAGTCCGGGAGAGCTGATGTCTGCAAACAAGCACTGACTTCATTAGAATTATGAGATTGTGCGCTCACTAATGATCACGTAAACTACTTTGAACTGCTTCCGCGTGTTTCTTCTCTTCCTTTTCTTGCGGACACCAGCCGCAGTCCAAAGTGAGAACGGTCCTTTCTGTCAAGCGATTCAAGAGACTCAGGCTTAACTCGTGATTATGCGCGAATGCACTCCAAGTTTACAAAGTACAGAAAGAAAGACACAACTGCTGCGCTCTCCTCGTGTCAGTGATGACACATAAAAACGCTCGTGGAGCTTACCTCTGTGGAGCAAGCTGACATGGCGGAGAAGTCCAACTTTTGGCTTCCCAGGAGGTCCCACCATAGTACCCTGTGAGTTACCCCAGCTGCTGCTTCATATCCCCGCCGGCCATTAATTCGTGAATCCCGTCGAGAACACGCAGACCGGCCCGTGGCCACATTTTGCCCCAAAACACACCGTCAGAGCAGGAGGGGAACACCCGAGCGCTCACGGAATATCAAATACGAGCGCGAAGCGGCGGGGTCTGGGAGCGTCGCCGGACTGAAGGAGGAGAAATAGAGGAACAGAGGGGGGTGGGGTTGGGGGTGGGGTAATTGGATTGAGGTGTTTAGCACCAAGGACAGCTCCAGATCAACGGCTTGCAGCTGAACTGCTGCTCGGAGCGTCACTGAGCTCTTCTCTCAGTGTTTGACAGACCCGTGGAGACGCTACGGAGAAGCTCCTGGTTCAGTCCGTTCATTCGGCACCATTTACAAGGCTGTGCAAGTTTTTCTACAGGAACCTCAAACTGAAGGGAACGTGTCCACGAAATACGTCACAAGTCACAACACACACACAAATCACAGAAACACGTCATGGTAAATGAATGAATGTTAATGATGTGCGTCTATATCTCATAACACGAGAACATTAATTCAACAACTAATCATGTCTAAGCTGTCATGAATTATGCAATGTCAGCACTGTCGCATCTTAGTCTGGCCTGTAGTTTCTTTGGACTAAAAAAACTCCGCTTTTATTGTTTATTTCCAAAAGATTAACTAGAACTAAAACTTCTCTATGACTGCACTGTGTGTGTGTGTGTGCGTGCGTGTGTGTGCGCGCGTGCGCGTGCGTGTGTGTGCGTGTGTGTCCTTACACAGTGGTGGCCTTTCCTTCAGTAACTCGGATTAACAGGTCATTCATGGCAAAAGACTGTGACATGTGATCACCACCAGTAGGATGATGTTGCAATACTCACACAGAACGCACTGAACATACTGAACATCACATTTGTAACAGAAAGGATGAAGCTCAGCAGACAGAGATGAACAAATACATAAAAATAAAATTTGGGGACAGGAAACAGGGAAGCACGGGGAAAAATTCAACACACTTGAACCACAAACTGTAAAGTATTCATTAAACTCAATGGATCCATCAGCCGCATGGAGGAACTGGACAATGTTGTCCATCATATACTGGAATGATGAACTGACGTGACCACAACAATCATAGGGCACCGTCTGAAAGAACGTCATCCACCTCTGGCAACAATAACAATATCATTCAGTGGAATGCTGTATATGATAAATGGGATCATTTAGATAAACAGACCATAACGTACTGGGCTTTGAAAAAGACACAGATCCAGAGAATAATTTCTTGTCTGACATCAGTGACAACTGTAGCTCAGGAGGTAGAGCGGCTCATCTACTGATCCGAGGGTTGGTGTTTCCATCCCTGGCTCTCTTGGTCTGCATGCCAAATATCCTTGGGGAAGATACTGACCGTAAGTTGCTCTGCGATACATCCAACAGAGTATCAATGTCTGCGAATGTTAGTAAACACTTAAAACCATAGAAGAAAGTGCTTGGGTGAATGTGGCATGTTGAATGAACAAGAGGCTGTGAGGTCAGTTCCTTGATCATTAATATGCAAATCCTGGACAGGGAGGAACGCTGGTTTGAGTGAGGAACCAAGGAGGCCATTTACGTGAAAAGGAAAAGACCATCTCTGAAACGAGGAAGATGTACCTGAGGGTCCATCTGTCACCATCTTACAATGCTGTGATTGCAGCCATTCCCCAACTCTGTGTGAATGCTACTCACCGTCTTTGATCAGTGGTCATGACAAATTGCATATTAATGATCCAGGAGCTGACCTCACAGCCCATTGTTCATTCAGTGGGCTGGACCAGTTGTGCAAATGTACTGTTATAAGGTTGGAAACCTGCAGTCAGCTGAGACCGAAGAAGCCACCTGGATGAGTGACGAAATGTTTCTCCCACTGAAGACGTCCAGGTGGACAAAATCGACCTCTTGGGATTCACTTACCTGGAGGATTGAGCATGCATAATGACAAACGCATTGAATGTTTTTCAGTGTCACACAGGATGTTCACGATGAAGAAGACAGTTCTGGACAGCTGCTGCTGTGCCAGTTAAAAGAAAAGGATATCCCCCTGAAGGTGCTGGTGCAAACAGATCACGTCAGCAGACAGGTATGCTTCTTTCGTTAGGGGACTAGAGTCATTTGGCACAACCAACATGTTCTTGATTTTTGTTCTAACATAAAATAAATAGTCAACTCTGAGGCAGCTCAGAGAGAGAATGTGGTAGGAATATACTAAAATACTTGATGTACGTTTTCACTGCGGTCACTAATACCCCTTTAAGGTTTAAGACTAAATGTGTGGCCTGTTTTAGCTCCAAAGAGGAAGGAAACCACAAAGTTCAATGGGAAGCTTCATTTTTCCTCGGTTCTCAGGCCGAAGATGTGATGTAATCCAGGCCTGTGTAACGACGAGTAAATCACTAAATCTGCAAGCAAGGAATTAAACTACTGTAAACTATTTCATGGTGGTACAATCGTTATAATACTGCTGACCGATACACCTGAGAAACTATTCATTTCAACACAGACTGAATAAATAAAGAGACCAACGAGTTTTTAACCACGATGGACACTGAAACAGAAGCTGTTCATCTAAATCCCTGAAAACTTAAAGCCAGAGCCAGCGAATATTTCAACATCCTGAAAACAGGATGAAACTCAAGATTTATTGGTTTACAAAGTACACAAAATTCCTTCCATATTCATTTGTCATTTATGGAACGCCTTCCATCAAAAGCTTTGACATTAAGACTTGACATCAACAGGTATACATGCATCATTAAATAAACAGAAACACAGGTATTAGAACATATAAAATTGCAAAACACATCCTACCAGCATTGTGTTTTTAATAAAAATAAATAAATTAAGAATCGGTTAGACACGCAATAAACGTGGGGTGCTGGGATAGAAACTTCTGACCCACGTTTCGAAATGAGAATCTTTTTTTTTCCGATTCAGATGAAAGAGCAAAGTCACGCCTCGTTGTGGATGACGCGAAGCTCAAAGTACTGAAATGGGGAAGAACATCAAAACAATACTGTGGTCCCAAACGTTAAAATAACACCACCCTGAGCAAAAATAAAGGACGGCTTCGATTCATAGACAACAACTAAATGCATAGAAAACCCTTGGAGTCAAAGTGTTGGTTAACAAATGAGAGTCAGCAGGGGAAGGACATGAATGGAACAGCACAACGTAAGTAACCAACTAATGAAACACAGCTATTATTACATTGTTTTGTTGCTTTGTTTATTCCACTGTGAGCTCAAGTTTTATTGGGATCTCGGTACTGAGGTAACACGTCTCCAGTGGAGGATGTTTGCGTGTCTTCACTTGTGTTCCAGTCGCAGCAGCTGCTCTTTGCCATTAATGGTTAATGAGCGTAGCCGGCCGTCCTCTTCCACCTCAACTCTCTCCTGACCGTTCTCTACAATTCTGCAGAAACAGAGAGCATTTACACCATCTTAATCGTGAAAATCCGTTTACACGTAAATGGGAGCAGCATTCGTACCGCTCGTCTGCTGGTGCAGTGTTTAGTCTGCTGAGATGTTGCTGAGATGATGATTAGGCCGGTGTAAACATGAGTCTAACTAAGCCTCACCTCCTACTTCCTTCCTACTCTCCTTAACTCCTGCCTACACTTCAAAAAAAGAGCTGTTTTTTTTTCACACTGGGTTTTTTGGAAACTTCCCTCCAAATTAAATGGCAAAAGTGTGTTTGGCTCTTTCTTCTTGATGCTGTTGTACTGAACAAAGTGCTGAAAATTACACCGGAAACACCTCTGGCTGCTTCTATACACCGATTCAAGCAACGGATCTTTTCCACTCCGAGGTCGCAATTTGACAAATGTTTCATGGTAAATGGTTCTTATATAGCGCTTTTCTGCTCATCTGAGCACTCAAAGCGCTTTACACAACTAACATTCACACACATTCATTTGGGGTTAGTATCTTGCCCAAGGATATTTGGCATGTAGACTGCCAGGAGTCAAACCACCAAGCTTCCGATCAGTGGATGACCGGCTCTACCGCCTGCTACAGCCACCCCATGTTCATGTTGGTTCAGTTTGAAATGAAACCATCCATTTGTCCTATGCACTGATTTGATGTGTCGTTTGCAGGCAGAAGTTGGAATTGATTTAAACCAATAAAAAAAGAAACTGTGTGAATGTGAGCACCTGTATGGAAAGTGTAACCTGCACACAGGAACACCGTGAAGAGTTAAAGGCACAAATGTACAGGACTGGTCCAAGTCTCGATTTTAAATTCACAGTAAGACTGTCCAAAAACATTCATTATCCATCATCTATCAGACCACGTTTAGATCATTTTATAAACATCAGGGATTCAAAATGCAATAAGCCACGTCTGATGAAACTGTGACTCTGTGGAAAGGTAAGAAACAAAAAATGTTAAATAATGGTAAGTAATAAGGCGACCTTAAACTGGCAGAAAGCATGAAGCATTTATTCATATCATCTCCGATCATCTGGCTTTTGCGATGCAAACATCCGTACACGGTGCTGATAGCAGTCAGGAAAAACCTGTGGCAGAAAGCTTAGACCTTTTTCTGATTGATACGATTTCCACAGCAGTTCACAACTATCAGTGACAAACGTGCCACTCAAGGGGTCCAGAACAGAACTCAGAAAACATAGAGCCAGTTATGTTGTTGGACATCCACACAACAGGTTACATGCACTGGAAACACTGGAAATCTTCTGGGTTACAAAACGCGAACGGTTTGTTTACATCAAAGTGACTGTAAGTATAAAGATTGTGGGCTTCTTCCCGCTCACAGACCAGGAACACATGGACATTACAAAGATGGCTGCCATGTGATGAGACTATTACTACAAGATCGCCGCTGTACTAAACCTCAACCAACGTCTGCAAAGCTGATACCAGGAAACCTTCAGCCTAATCTGACTGATCTCAGCTGTGATTAAAAAGCATTCAGTTTTCATACAGTACATCCAGCTGAGGACGTTCCTCTGAGAATCGGTGTCGGCCAGCTGCTCTCGCTTCATTTTTAACCTGTGAAAAGCTGCTCAAACAGCTGCTTCCCTGACAAGTGATGCATTGAAAGGCCTCACTGTGTTGCTACACCAGGACGCGGTGATTTGTGTTCATCTCTCATTAAAGTTCGCACGACTGTTTGGTTTAGAATTGGGCGACACGGAAGCTGAGCTCACTGATGACACCACAGGATGGAATAAAGATTTGTGCACGATAACTAAGAACACGTTAACCGTACGATGCACATCACTGCTATGTGAAGATTTTGTCACATGCTATCTGGCAGGTCAGTACCTTTTAGTAGTGATCTTCCTGCCGTTGATGGTCTTGGTGGAGGTAGACACAGATCGAAAGTTGCCCATGCTTCCTCCACCTCCTCCTCCAAAAGAGGTTGATGAGAAAGAGGTGAAGCCGCCTCCTCCCATACTGCCCATTGTTGTCATGTGACCCATGTGACCGATATGACCCACGGCGCTCATGGAGCCAAAAGAACCAAAGGCTAAAAGTAAAAAGTTGATCTGTTTAATTCATTTAAGCAAAAGATCAACGTTGCCAACAGTTTTGGAGCCACTCTGCAGCAGCGGGAGCTTTACGCTGGCTAACAGCTTACCTGGGTCAAAAGGGGAGAAGCCGGCACCGAAGGCTGGGAAACCAAAGCCCCCCAAAAAAGGGCCACCTGTCCGGCTACGACTTGCCCGGCTTTGGTGCCGCCGGCCACTACCAAAAAACGAGTCATCACTAAATGGATCTGCACCTGAGAGGAGAAAGAGTCAGAGCGCAAGAATAACTGAGAACCACAGCAGGAGGCCCAAAGTCTTCAAACATGCAGCTCAAAGCTGGACGCAGTCACAGACTCAGTGATGCAGCTTTGTTCAGCTGAACGGAGGTCTTACCAAAAAAGTCTGCAAACGGGTCTCTGGCACCAAAGAATTCCCTGAAAACATCTTCTGGGTTACGGAACGTGAAAGGTTCATGGAAATGCTCTCCATTGTGGAAGTGCGCCCCTGAAACATCAAGTCAGTCAAAAGTGATGTTAAAAGTGTACATCCGGCCGGAGCCGGAAAATAATTCCAATTCCTTGGAATCGTTAAATCTGCCCGCCTAACGATGCCGCTTATCAGGTCTCGCACTCTCGCTATGATCAGCTGATTTCGTGTGTCGCTGGAGGGAAATAGTGACGCAGTCTCCAGCGTGGACATTCATTTTTATTATACAAAAGGATGAGAGTGCATGAGTAGTGTACTGCATTACTTTTAAGAAAAGTGTGTGTAATATGTGCAGTAATGACTGAGTGATGGGCCCAGCACTGATCACAACAAAGAGGGGAAGCACCTCCAACATGCACAAACATTTGAAACACAGCATGGAATTATTCTGTGGAAGGGAATTGATAACGGGAACTGGAAGTTCCATCCCTCTGTGCACGATTTGACAATCTCCATGGAAAATGTTAAAGTGAACGCGATCACATCGTAAAAATGCTGTAAATGTGATCTCGTGCCAGTGTTCAAACCAAGCAAACAAAGTTACAGGTGCATTTAAAAAGAGACGCTTACCTCTTCCACCGTTGCTCCCTGTCAGCCCCTCTTTGCCATAACGATCATATATACTCCTCTTGTTTGCTAAAACAGGAAAGTGACAAGTTTCAAAAGCTGAAAGCAAACTGTGGGAGAACAGTAATAAATACAATACAGAAATACAAGGATCACCGAAGAGACAGTCGTGTGTTTTCACTGAGTCGACCTCAATGAAAACACACCGTCACACACAGATGTGATACAAACCATCAGACAGGACTTCATAAGCCTCCGACAACTCCTTGAACTTCTTCTCAGCCTCCTCTTTGTTCTCTGGGTTTTTATCTGGGTGCCACCTCAGGGCCAGCTTTCTGTACCTGCACACCAGAAGTAAAAGGTGCTGTTGCAGTGAAAACAATGAAAGCATGGCTTTTACCATCAATGAAAAAGTACAGACGTAAAAGAGCAAAACATGAGCACTTCTGATCTGAATTTTCTGACCAGATTTCAAAGTGAAATGTGCCGCCATGTGCCAGCTGAAGCCTCGAAGCACGCAGCACAGCGCTATGTTACGCGTCACGTTATTCATGTACATGTCAGAGGGGAAACTATTACTCTTCTCACAAAGGATAGTTCATTCAGCTCCCAGGTGGTGCAGATGTGACGCAGCTCTGCAGCATTTACCTGTTAGCTTGAACTCCTTCAGCAGTTTATTAATAAAGAACCAGACACAGCCTGAGAAAACTGCAGGCGATGGCATCTCTGTGCAGGTTCTCAGCTAGGACCACATTTAAAACTTCAACTCACGCTTTCTTTATGTCATCTGCAGACGCATCCTTCCGTACTCCTAAAACCTGGTAGTACTCCACCATGATGAGTGGATGACTGGAGAAACTTCAGAGAGCCTGGTGAACCTGAAACAGTGAAGACAGCCACTGCTTATTAGCTTGATCGACTTAGCAGTGAGAAAGTCTGCAGAAATGTTGAATTCATGCCTCTCTGGAAGACTTTGGATTTGAGGAAGTCTTTTTGTGGGATCGCAGTCAAACAATCAATTTGTTAAGAAATGTTCCAGACCGAGCCGAGTGCCTGAGATGTGTTTGCGTGGCAGCTGTAATAAGATTAGATCAGATTCTCTTAACAACAGATACGAAACTACACTGGCTCCTTCATTACCTTATTCAGCAAAGAGGCACTTCCAACGTGAAGCGCGTGTTGCATTAGTTTCTAGAGAAACCGAATGCTTTAATAAAAGTCAAGATGAATCAGGTTTCAGAAGTATAAACAGCTGGGTGCTGAAAGGAATTCTGTGAAACTCCACACAGAAATGGTGGTGCTGGTTCCCAGGATGTTCCTTCTGTGAGGCAACAGTGCACCACCATGCTGCCTCATAGGATTTAATTACTTCCAGGGTGGAGTACTGTAATTCGTTATTATCTGAAAAGTCTTCAGCTGATCCAAAAAGCTGTACTAAGAGTACTGACCGGGACTAGAAAGGGAGCGCACCCTTCTCATACTGGTTTCCTGTTAAATTCAGTGCTGAATTTAAAATCCTGATCCTCACATACAAGGTCTTGAATGATCAGAGCGGATCTCAACTTGAAAACCTGACAGTACCGTATGAGCCTGATAGAGCCCTTTGCTCTCAGGCTGCAGGCTCACTCGTGGTTTCCAGGATGGCAGCTACGTCCTTTGTGTGACTGTTGGGTCTTTACCCACAACACGAAGCTGTTGTTGTGATTTGGTGTTTTAGAAATAAAACAGAATTGAACTGAAATTGAAAACTTTTTTAAAATGAACATTTATGCATTTCTCTGGCACAGGGCGTTTCCAGGGGTAATGGGTGGGACTGTGTGATATGGTGTTTTTATGCTCACTGTACACAGAGCGTGACGTGACATCAGCTGGTGCTTCGACCTCTTGACTTTTGTAACCTGGCACGTTGCGCCATGGCCACTGCAGCCGGGTTGAAGATACGATCGTGTTGGTTTTTATTACCATTTTAATGATATTCCAGCTCAGGAGTTAAAGGGGAACAGTTTAAAAAGTTTGCAAAGTCCTTGCTTCCAGTTGCGACTTCTTCTCTTCCAATATCAGCTCTCATGTGGTGGTATTATCTGAGGCGTCCTGCGCCTTAACCACGGGCAGCGATAGAGCAGTACAGAGGCTATACTGCCGCCCTTAGCCCGATCCCTGCTCTGGTACAAAAGGATTAAAAATAAAAATGACATTATCAACAAGAACCTTTGTGGTAATTTTTAAGGTCCCACCTGGTGAGAATTTAGTTAAAATAACAGGTTAAACTGGCCCAGTAAGTGGAACTCTTCCTTTAGAGAGGCAGCGAGGATCACAAAGCAAACATGAGCGAATGCTGTTGATGGCTGTGGGACACTGAATCAGATGCTGTGTCATAAGGTGGAAAAGGGCTCCCCCTGGTTCAGTGTAGGCAGGTTATGAGGTCTTCTGATCATTTTGAGTTATAATTCTGTGGATCAGTCATAATGTTGTACTTTATAGTTAGTTTTCATTTGGACTTTTTAATCCAGTTTAATTTGGAGAGCGGGCTTGCTCGCTTCAGTTTTATTGGTTGTAAACGTTTCGTTTCAGTTAGTTTAATTTCAACCTTAGTATTAGTCTTTTTATATGAGCGTTATTAAAGTATGGAGGGCATATGCCGTGATTCAGAAAAATCGGTGCAGGTATTACAACAAAAAACAGAACTTTTTGAAAGCAGCGCCACTCTTCAAATTAAAAATAACTGAAAGACTTTGACTCTTCCGAGCTCCACCTTTCAGTATTCTGAACATAAAGATGTAGTTCAGCCCTGTGAGCCCCTCCTGTGCACAGACGTGTGGCCTGAACATGAAGACCAACAGCTGTGTCTCGACTTTTATCTGCCAGCTACATAAATAGTCTGAAAACAGGCAGACTGAGAAGATTTAAAGGTAAAATGGAAGAATGCCTTTCAGTTACCATCTGAACCGGACGAAAACTCACTGGGCTTCACTTCTCTGAGCGGAACCCAGAGTAGCTGCTGCTACCCGGCTAACAAGGGCTGAAAGAGCCGCTAATGGTAACAGCTTGAAGACTAAACATAAGTATATTCAACAGAAAGCGACCTCACTGAAACACTACTCGTACCAGTAGCTGCTTGGCGAACCTAAAGTAAGCTAGCTCTGGCCGGCAGTAAACAAAAGTCGCCATATCGTGAAGGCTATCAGTCTTACCCAGCGGAGGATCGGCAGCCTGCACTCTCAGTCGGTTTGTCGAGCAGACACACGGTCTGATAATTGGGACGTGACAGAAACTAAAGAGGTTTATTCATCTTCAGCAATCTGCACATTCTCAGATTTAACACAACGTCCTGTTTCTTTCTTCTTCCCCGCCTCGCGTCTTCTTTAGCTACGACGCTTAACAACAAGCTTAGCGTCTCTATACCGCCGCCCACCGGACACAGGCTGCATAGCTGCTGACCACTCGCTGAAGTGTCCAGGATTTGGACAATCATTAAACATTTCCAAACAGACGTATGGGAATTCGTCTGTCGTATACTTTTACCCACTGTCAGTATTCACAGCATGCTCTGTGTCTAACACCAGCACTGTACAGAACCTGGATACAGAAACTTCTTGAACACGCATGCCACAAAGACATGCATGCTAGGTTCATTGGCTGTAGGTGTGCACAGTTGTCTCTCAGCAACAGATTGGTGACCTGTCCATGGTGAACCCCACCTCTTGTCCCACAACATCTAGGATGGGGTCCGGCCGAAATATGACAGTGAATGAATTACACTAGGAGAGCATCAGCTGATTCTCTGGAACCTTTGTCTGGTTGGTTCTAGCTTCTGGTGATTACCAGAACTTTTTGATCCAGGTGTTTTTCATGTGAACTTTCTATGAAATATATTAAAAAACAAACACTTGAATACCACGGCCTCTTGAGTTATTTTTCTCTTAAGGTATCCTGCTTTTGTTCCATTTCTTTTCATGCTCAGTCCATACAGGTAATGTGAAGTATCGGCTATTAAAAATGAAACTAAGTTAACTGAATGCTGTACACAAGTCAGGGGACAGCTAAGGTAAAGAAACATGACTGACAAGAAACAGAGTAACACAGGGAAGTTCAGTAAAAGGAGAGGACATAAAGTCTTGTGATGCAGTCCATTTATACAATACAAATTGTATTTGTTTAAGCAGGCATGTGATCAGGAAAGAAGGAACAAAATGAGTGAATACAGAAAACAGGCTGCAAGAACCAGTGAAAAATAAAGTATCCTTTGTTATGCTAGTGTGACCGAAGGAGCTGGACATGGAAATAGGCTTTATTTTAGCAGCTTTGAGGTTGCCATGGAGGTCATTGTAGTCATGGTCGTCATGGCAATGGTGGGCACAGCGACGTCTTTAAAAATGGACTGTGTGACACCAGAATGTGACACTTTATTCTCGCTGAGCGTTCCGATGATCATCTGCCGCATCTCCCTGCTGGCATCACCACGCACAGCAAGCAGCGCCTGGATGTGCTCCTCCCTACAGAGAGTCGGAGGGACAAACAACCTCAGCCACGTATAGGCAAACTCATTATAGACACATGCTGTATTCCGCGTGGTGTTGATGGCCTTGGTAGCACTGTCACGGCTCACTCGGTGATCAGGCACACTTCAACATTAGTTGAGGCACTCTCTTTTTAAACTAAGTCTGAAAAGCTTTTTTCTCATGGCACGGTCATGCTTAACAGAAAGAACACCAACACGATTCAGCGTGCACGCCCTCATCAAGATGTGTAAACAGATTGCATGAAAAACTCTAGTTTCTAACGCTGCGACGTCAGGAGCAAGTTCCCACCTGGAGTCAGAGTGGAATATTAATCAGTTCATGTTTTAACTTTGTATGTCTTCCTTCCAAAGAGCACTTTAACCAGAAGCCTTTCAAAGTGGACATGAAGCACTACATGTACAAAGGCGAACTTACACCATGGAGCTCTGCTCTCAAAGATGTGATTCTGTCTGTGAAGCTGGGTTTAAGAAACAAAGTTTATAACCTTTATAAAATTTTATAAAGGTTATAAACTTTTATAAATAAAAGTTTATAACCTGGTGATGTAACCTTGTGTACTGACAGAAGATGGCGCCAAACACTCAGAAATGTAAGCACTTCTTAAATCCAGCTACACAGACACTGTTACAGCTCTGTCAGGTTTGGAGAGCAGGGCTCAGTAAATGAGCTTTATACACTTAGTGCTTAATGTGCACTTAAAGCTCCAAATCAGTAAACACACAGCATTGGGAACAATAAAACTGATAACTAAAATGTATCAAATGAAAAAACTATACCTGCACACGAGAGGCAAACACTTGAATATTTAATCCACTATAAGTTTGTTAGAAGCTGCTTGATTTCTTTGCCCTGGTTCCCAGCACCAGTTCTGGATCTCCATTGTGGTTCCCTATAACTGCCACGGAGTCTTTCTTTTAAGTCTGTTTCCTGCAGCCCGTGTTTGGGTCATCACTCGTGGTGGTCTAATGGCTGCACTGTCGCAGCAAAAGTGTCTTGAACCCTGGCTGGGGCCTTTCTATGTTCTCCCTGTGAGCGTGTGGTTTCCTCTGACTACATCCTCCCTCAGTCTAAAGGCATGCATGGATGTGAGGTAGATATATAGAATAAAGTGTTGGTTAAGCTTAAAAACGAATAAATACTATATGAATGTGAGTATGTTGCATTACTCCTACACTAAACACACACCTAACAATAAGTACTTTGATGACACGTTCAATACGTCCAGATAAATCCAGCGTTACATCTATATCAGTCTCTGAGAGCAGGAAGTACTCTCTGTGCAAACTGTCCCGTTTCATTTTACTAGCAGACTTCACAGCTTTTTTTTTTTAACTGTTAATTATTGTCAGCCACTCCTTGGCCACGAATGTCATGTGACACTGTGCAGCTACAGTAGAAATGTATTGTGGTGGGTAAAAACCTTATTTTAAGGAAAAGCAACCTAATGTCTTTTATTCAAACTCAGATCTGACTGGTGACACTATTTGTGTAGGTTTTTTCAGGGTAACTACTGCAATTAAAGCTTATGCTATTTCCTCAAATGACCATGAAAGCAGCAATGTGAGAGAAAAAAATGTTTAGTGTAAATGTGCCATATAAAAAACGATCCCATCATTTCAGTTCTTGTATACAGTGGGGCAAAAAAGTATTTAGTCAGCCACCGATTGTGCAAGTTCCCCCACCTAAAATGATGACAGAGGTCAGTAATTTGCACCAGAGGTACACTTCAACTGTGAGAGACAGAATGTGAAAAAAAAATCCATGAATCCACATGGTAGGCTTTGTAAAGAATTTATTCGTAAATCAGGGTGGAAAATAAGTATTTGGTCAATAACAAAAATACAACTCAATACTTTGTAACATAACCTTTGTTGGCAATAACAGAGGTCAAACGTTTACTATAGGTCTTTACCAGGTTTGCACACACAGTAGCTGGTATTTTGGCCCATTCCTCCATGCAGATCTTCTCGAGAGCAGTGATGTTTTGGGGCTGTCGCCGAGCAACACGGACTTTCAACTCCCGCCACAGATTTTCTATGGGGTTGAGGTCTGGAGACTGGCTAGGCCACTCCAGGACTTTCAAATGCTTCTTACGGAGCCACTCCTTTGTTGCCCGGGCGGTGTGTTTTGGATCATTGTCATGTTGGAAGACCCAGCCTCGTTTCATCTTCAAAGTTCTCACTGATGGAAGGAGGTTTTGGCTCAAAATCTCACGATACATGGCCCCATTCATTCTGTCCTTAACACGGATCAGTCGTCCTGTCCCCTTGGCAGAAAAACAGCCCCATAGCATGATGTTTCCACCCCCATGCTTCACAGTAGGTATGGTGTTCTTGGGATGCAACTCAGTATTCTTCTTCCTCCAAACACGACGAGTTGAGTTTATACCAAAAAGTTCTACTTTGGTTTCATCTGACCACATGACATTCTCCCAATCCTCTGCTGTATCATCCATGTGCTCTCTGGCAAACTTCAGACGGGCCTGGACATGCACTGGCTTCAGCAGCGGAACACGTCTGGCACTGCGGGATTTGATTCCCTGCCGTTGTAGTGTGTTACTGATGGTGACCTTTGTTACTTTGGTCCCAGCTCTCTGCAGGTCATTCACCAGGTGCCCCCGTGTGGTTCTGGGATCTTTGCTCACCGTTCTCATGATCATTTTGACCCCACGGGATGAGATCTTGCGTGGAGCCCCAGATGGAGGGAGATTATCAGTGGTCTTGTATGTCTTCCATTTTCTGATGATTGCTCCCACAGCTGATTTTTTCACACCAAGCTGCTTGCCTATTGTAGATTCACTCTTCCCAGTCTGGTGCAGGTCTACAATACTTTTCCTGGTGTCCTTCGAAAGCTCTTTGGTCTTGGCCATGGCGGAGTTTGGAGTCTGACTGTTTGAGGCTGTGGACAGGTGTCTTTTATACAGATGATGAGTTCAAACAGGTGCCATTCATACAGGTAACGAGTGGGGGGCAGAAAAGCTTCTTACAGAAGACGTTACAGGTCTGTGAGAGCCAGAGATTTTCCTTGTTTGAGGTGACCAAATACTTATTTTCCACCCTAATTTACGAATAAATTCTTTACAAATCCTACCATGTGGATTCATGGATTTTTTTTTTCACATTCTGTCTCTCACAGTTGAAGTGTACCTCTGGTGCAAATTACTGACCTCTGTCATCATTTTAAGTGGGGGAACTTGCACAATCGGTGGCTGACTAAATACTTTTTTGCCCCACTGTATGTCTAAAGTACCATGCTGAAAATATGGGAATGATGCTGGCAACAGCTGGAATGCTAGCCAGCGTTAGCATGTGTCTGTGTACCTGATATCAGGATATTTAGACACCAGCGTGGAGACCTCCAGGAACAGCAATGTGGGGTCAGTCAGCTTGAACACTTCTGCAATAGCAGTGATGGCACCACAAAGCCAGTCCGTGTCCTCACCCTACATGGTTAAAAAACAAAAGAGAACCAAGAATATTTTCATGTGCTGCTGTGTGAGGATCGTGTGTATCATCTGCTTGGCTGTTAAACTCTTCACAGTACATCAATTAGAGTTAGGGTAGAAAATCCACACGAAAACAAAACTTGAAAGAGTCAAGTCTGAGCTCATTTAGGTCAATATAAAAATGAATGAGGTATTATGTTAAATTAATATACATTTGAAATATATTTTAGGAAGTCAGACATTATTGTAGTTCATTGTTTTGATTAATCTGAAACATTGTAGTCACTCGAGATCCTGGATTTTTGATTTTCATGAGCTACAAGCCGTAATTATCAAAATGAGAGAAGAAGCACACACTGTCCACATATTTCCATACCAAAGAGCACTGCACACA